TCGAGCCCAACCTTTTGTGTTTGACGCTCTTGCGCCGCTTCGCTGGATTGGCAGCGGAGCACAAGCTCCGGGGCCTGACGGCCGGTGCTCCCTCCTGAGGAGCTTGGCATTGGCTGTCGCTTGCTTGCCTTCCTCTTAGGTGCCTACTTGTTCTTGGAGCTCTACGACTTTGGTCTTGGCACCTGGCTTGCTTGGTTTGGCCCTGCGCCCTTGGCTCATTGGGAACTACTTGGTTGACGCCTTCCTTGGTGCCTCAACTTGCTCTCCGAGCTCTTTGGCGAGTTCACTTGTGGTTCAGGCATTTTGCCTGGCATGACGGAGAAAGACTCCGGACATCATGTCCCATCCTGGGACGGCAGTGCGAGGACGTGGAGGAAATACCATCGCGAAGTGAGCTGGTATGTTCGATCCACGCCAACACACAAACGGCGATACTGCGCTCATCGCCTTGTGGGACGCCTCACTGGCCCTGCAAGGCTACTTGCTATGTCATGGACCTCCGTCAGCTTTGACCATGCTGGCGGAACTCGAGATTTCTTGCGCAGGTTGGCATCCTCTCCGCTGGTGCGGCAATCGCTTCTCAATGCAGCTGCGATCTGCCAGCAATACTTTAGCTTCCGACGAAACAGTGGAGAAAGCATGCAAAGCTTCCTTGTCAGAGAGGCTTTATGCTATGCTGAGTTCAGTGAGGCCATCATTAGACTGTATGAGGAGAAGAATGGCATCCAGCAGCACGATCTGGACTTCGACCTCCCGCCAGATGATGAGGAGTGGGAACAAGAGGAACCATGGACCAGTTGGGGCTACGAAGATGAGGAGACTCAGACCTCACCTGTGGGCTCCACCCATGCAGCTGCTGCTGATAGTGGTTCGCCTCACGGGAACTATGCACGTGTGGCTTTCGTCTTCACCTTCGAGGCATTCAGCTGGAGTTCAATGGGACCTCCCTGGTGTTACAGAGCTGAGCCTGGCTGACAGCTTCGTCCTTGGTGTCCTACGTGGCTTCCGTCTCTTGCAGGCCTCCGGATTGTCACCAGACGACATGCGAGACATCATCAGCACAACCAAGGGCAGCCTCGAGTTCGAGGTTGTCACCAAGGCACTGCAGACTCTCTGGGACGACCAATTGGTCGGACGTCGCCATGCTGGTGGTTGGTCTCCTTCAAAGACCCATGAGGCCATGTTTGAAGAAGCAACCTCACCTTCTGATGATTGGTGGGATGACGCCAACGTGGCCCAGTACGATGACAACTATGATGACTGGTGGCAAGATGATGAAGAATGGGGCTATGCCATCGAGGAGCACGAGGGCACGAAGGCTTCTGAGGAAGATGATGATGCGATAAAGGAGGCCCAGAAGGCAGAGCAGATTGCCGAGGGCTTGGCAATGGAAGCCCAGCGTTCATGGGCTGAAGCTCAACGTGCCACTCAGGCACTTCGGAAAGATCGCGGGTTTGGACATGTGATTGGAGGAGGCAAGGGGTCTTCTCCCACCAAGTGCTGGACCTGCGGCGGCCCGCATTTCTCCCGAGACTGTCCCGATCGACGGCAAGGGCTGGAAGGGTCACTACATGACTGACGAGCTCTACTACATGAAGGGGAAGGGCAAGAAAGGCAAGACTGCCTCATGGATGGAACTTCAAGCTTTCCAAAAGGGCAAATCATCCAAGTCCGGCAAGGGCAAAAAGGGGACCATGTCACGACCTTCCGTCAATGCCTACACCAACGAGCTTTTTGGTTTAGAGTTTTCTGGAGCCTTGGACGTCCATTCAGCGACATCGCCTGTGGCTACCATGGCACCTCACATGGGCCTTATCGACTGCGGAGCAACGGCTTCTGCCGGGCCACAGATTGCAGTCGAGGCCTTGGTCTCATCCATTTTGACCAAGGACAGTCAAGCGTCCGTGGAGGTATACAAGAATGCTCGTCCGTTTTTTTCGTTTCGGCAACGGTGGATGGGGTCGTGCACTTTATCAAGTGGTTCTCACGAGCACCGTCACCGGAAGTGCTCGAACCTTCAAGTTGTTTGCATTGCCAAATCCCCCCAAACCTACATCACCCGGACTTTGACAGGAACACGTTGGTGCCCATTCTCATTGGCATGGACCACTTGTCAGGTAACCCTTCAGCTATGTTGGTGGATTTTCGAACAGGTTTGGCCATGGATTCCTATGCACTACATCCCCAAGAATATCAACTACCATGCAATCGGAAGGGTCACTATATCATGGACATTGCTGAGTACCTCACCATGGGTCAAACCAGGTCCACTGGACATCCACGGGTTCGGGTTTCTGCAGATGTGAGTCATGCATGTCACACCTTGGAGTTCCACCCTGTTGAGTACTATGACATGTCAGTTTTTGATGCACACCATGTTCATGAGAGTCAGCTTCAACAGTCACGTGCACTTCTTTTTCAGCTTCATCGGAGCAACTTGAGCTTGCATCCTTTTGATCACCGTGCAGCCCTGGCTTCAATGCATCGCTGCGGAGAAGCTGATTCCAATCCGCTTCCCGCTTCCCCAGCCTCGACTCTCGACCATGGCCCGGCGAGCTCCACGCGCCAGCGAGCTGGAGGAAGAGGGGATCCAGTGGGACATCCGCTCAGCCACGGACAAGAAGGCCACACCGCAGCCGTTCGACGACAAGCGGACCGTGCTGGCAGATCCGAGGGATCCTCGAACCGATCCCGGCCAATGGCCATGCTTTGGACAACATGTCCCAATGAAGGCTCATGCCAATCCACACGGCCGCTGGGTTCACTGCAGCACGTGCAACCTCCGCCTCCAGTACACTCCACGAGTGGGCTCACATGGTCAAAACACCAAGACCGACAGTCCACCCTTGACGATCAAGATGCTCACACAGCTGTACGAGGTGATGGGAGGACGCACTCCGACGGCCACGATCTGCCTCCTGATGCAGAAGAAGATCGATGCCGACGAGGCCCTGCAGGGAATGGTCGAACCGGTGTTCCAACGAGTGCCTCAGCTGAGCGAGAAGCCTCCCTTCTACGACAAGGAGATGACCAAGGTCAAGAAGGGCAACAAGAAGAGCAGCCGCGACACGAGCCCGGCTCCATCATGGGACAAGGTGGGAACTCCTCCGACATCACCACCTTCGCATTGGGTCGAACTTCAGGACTACATGGACCCGAGCGAGATGGAGCATTTGATGAAGATGCTTCAAGAGCGCAAGGCAGCAGCCAAGCTGGCTGTGGACATGGAGACTGGATCCGGGAGCCTGGCATCTGCCTACGAGCAGGAAGCCAAGTCAGCGTGAAGACTACATCACGGAAGAGTGCTACAGGCCCTTTGAAGAGCTCTATGATAGGCAGCCCTGGCACCTCATCCCGGAAGAAAATGACACAGGCTTCTCCGAGCACTACACCATCTTCCAAGAGTGCTACTACCAGTTCATCCAGTCCTTCTACCAAGATGCCTATGCCTCTGCCCTTGAAGATCGGCGCGAAGCTGCTGCTCCTGGCTACGACCTTGTTGAGCTCTATGGCAAGTGCAACTATGAGTCTCTGTTTGGGAGACAATGATGGCATCTGGGAGATCGCATGTGCTCCCCACAGTTGGCTGTCGGAAGCATGCCAACGTCAAGGACTTCAACCTCGCCGCATCAATCTTGAACAAGGCTATGATCTCTATAGGAAAGAGACTTGGGAGCGAATGAAAGTCCTTCGGTCCAAGAAGAAACCACGGAAGCTTTGGTTCAGCCTACCTTGCACAAAGTTCTGCCGCTGGACCTACCTCAACTACGCTTCACGACCTGAAGAACTTCGGCAGGCTCGCAAGAAGGAAAGAAAGATGCTTTGGTATATGAACGACTTTGTGAAGGACACCCTTTCCAAAGCTCCCGACACCAAGATCTACTTCGAGTGGACTCACCCATGTCAAGGGTGGCAAGAACTTCCAATGGTCGACCTCGAGACCTTCCTAGCAGCCTTGGACATTCCCTGGCTCTCATGCCGCATCGATGGCTGCGTCTATGGCATGATGGACTCTCGAGGTGAACATCATCTTCACAAGAAGTGGCTTGTCAAGACCACCTGTGAACACTTCCATGCCACCTACAAGACTAAGGTATGCCATGGAGGCCACTCGCACACCTTGATTCAAGGCGCCGAGACCGCCAAGAGCGCCTACTACCCTTGGAAGCTTGTCCAGTCCTGGGCACGATTCTGAAGAGCTGAGATGGTGTCTGATCGCAATCTTCGGCTTCTCTTCATGAAGCAGGACTCACCTGCTGCATTGGAGAATGAAGAGCTCTACCTCCTTGCCGACGATGACGGTGGCACCCTCAATGCTCTTCCTGCTGAAGAAGCCCTACAACCAGTGGAAGTTCCTTCTGAACAAGAAAAGAAACAATGGATGGCAAGGGTAGCTCACTTCCACAAGGCAGCTGGCCATCCTACCAACAAGAACCTGGCCAAGCTGATCAAGAATGCCGGTCAGCCAGCCTGGAAGTCCGAGCTGGCTTTGGAACACAAATGTCCGGCCTGTGAGGCCATTCGACCTGGCGGCACCTCCAGCAAGAACATTCCACCGGCGAGCACTCATTCTATGTGGAGTGCATGGCAAGCTGTTGGCATGGACACCGCAGAATGGCAGATTCCAGCCACCAAGAACAAGGTGAAGTTCGTCCTCATGATGGATCTGGCTACGAAGCTTCGTGTGGTTTGGCCCATCATGGAGTACCCCAACATGGAGATGCGAGCTGAAACTGCTGACCACATCATTGAAGCTTTCACTGAGCGCTGGCTCTCCGTCTTCCCAAAGCCTGAGATGGTGATAGTTGACAATGGTAGAAGCTTCACCTCTGATCGCTTCAACACCTTCCTGCGGGAGTCCAACATCGCCGTGCACTACCCTCCTGAGAAGGAACCTTGGGCACATGGCATCTTAGAAGCTGGCATCCAGGACATCAAGCAAGTGGCAACCGTCCTCCAGATGGAACAACTGGACCTTCGGCCGGCTCATACATTGACTCTGGCCACCTCAGCTCTGAACCAAACTGAGTACACGGCTGGGTATTCTGCTCAGCAATGGGCCTTCGGGAAGCACTACTCCCTGACCGATGAGGACCACCGCACGTACGAGCAGGTGGAACCTTCAACTGACTTTGCCCGTCTCGTTCAAGCCCGACAACAGGCTGAGGAGATTGCAGTGAAGACCAGATCAAAGAGAGTTCTGAGCAAGCTCTCCAACACCTTGGTTCGGCAGCCCTTGAGAACCTTCTCGCCTATGCAGCTGGTAAAGATCTGGCGTCAATTCCAGCCAGCTGATCAACACAAGGGCAGCCGCGGCGGCTTCAAGAAGTCTGGACGACCTCATTGGGTTGGCCCTGGCAGAGTTGTCTTCCAAGAGGTACTACCTCATCAAGAAGAAGGTGATCCTCGCCGACACATCCTGTGGGTGCTCATCGGGAGTCGCATCTACAGATGCTCAGTCCACAGCGTTCGGCCAGTGACCGAGGTTGAGCGCCTCCAGTACGAGATGACAGCCGATGAAGATCCCACCAAGTGGAAATCCTTGGCAGACATCCTGCCCAAGCGAGAGTTCACTGACCTCTTGGATGAACTCCCAAAGGAGGACGAGATTGAGATCCCGAACCTTCCGTTCTCCCCGGATCCTTCGACCTATGCGCCAATACGACGAGCCACTGGCAAGTCCACGTTGCAGATGTCCGACTACAAGCTGAAACACCGCAGCAGTCCATTGGGACTACAACCTCCAGATCGTGAAGTACAACACTTTGTACCTCCTGCTCACGCTTCGAGCTCGGCACGGCCTTCCAACTCGGCCCTACCAGAGGCTGAGGAAACTGCCAATGACTACGAAGACTACACCCCGAGTCTTCCTGATGCCGTTGCTGATGAACCTCCTGAAGATGAACCACAACCTTCAGAGAGAGATCCCAAAAGAGCTCGCAGTGAGTACGATCTGAAGTGGGTGGAGGAGCTGAAATCTCACTCTGAGATTGACAACAATGAAGTCTTCAGCTACCTCACCGAATGTCAAGATGACTTGGACGTCTTGGTCATGCACATCGATGTGGAGCCTGAGACCAACACCAAGAGAAAGGCTCTTCTTCGGAATCCCGTCCTCTACATGGCCAAGAAGTTGAACAATTCTGAAGTATCCTTGCAGCGCTTGAGCAACCTCGAGAAGGTCCTCTTCCAGCGTGCCAAAATGAAGGAAGTCAACTCCTTCCTCAAGAACAGTGCAGTCCGCAAATGTTTGGATGATGCGGAGATCCGCGAGGCCTATGGCAGTGGCAGGATCTTGAAGGCCAGGTGGGTCCTCACTTGGAAACCCATACCACCTGATGAACGTGATGAAGCACTAGAGGACAGCCACAACAACCCGGACACGGTGGTGAATCCTCAGGCCACCAAGAAAGCCAAGGCTCGCATCGTACTCCTTGGCTTCCAGCATCCAAGCTTGATGGACAGGAACTTCAAAACAGCTGCACCTGTCCAAAGCGGACTTGGAAGATCGCTGCTTTACTTCCTCTCCGTGGTCAACCAATGGGAGATCTGCGGCCTTGATCTTGCGACCGCCTTCCTGCAGACGCAACCGACTGAAGCCGATCAACGTCTCTGGACATCAGGAGTCTCTGGACTTAAGGAGGCTATGGGGCTACCTCAAGACGCTCTCCTTCGCATCCTGCGCAATATATATGGTTCAACAACAGCTCCAAGAGGTCTATGGCTCGACCTACACAAGACCCTTGTTGGCCTTGGCGCGGTTCCTGCTGTTGGCGAGCGATGCCTCTGGCTTTGGTTCGGCAAGCATGAAGTTGACCCGGTGACCTCTACTCCCGCTCTGCTCGGTGCGATGGGAGGACACGTGGACGACTTTCACAGGGTTGGCAACAATAAGTCACCTGAGTGGGTTGAGATTTGCCAGAAAATCGACAAGGCCTACCAGTGGGGCACGATCAAGCGACGGTCGTACCGTCATGCTGGCACTGACATCAACACCATCGACCAGGCTGACGGCACCTTCCGCATTGAGATCGATCAGGACGCCTACATTGAGGGCATACCTGACCTGGAAGTCTCTGTGCAGCGCCTTCGAACTCCTGAGCAGGCACTCACGCCCCAGGAGATTGCCTCTTGCCGAACGGCACTTGGATCCTTGCAGTGGTTGGCCATCCAGACGCAACCGCAACTATGCTCTCGGTGCAACCTTCTCCTGACGGAGATCCTGGTTGAGGGCACCACCACACATGCAAGAGAGATCCAGAACATGATCAGCGAGGTCCGTGTCCAACCTCAACGGCTTCGCTTCTTTCGACCTCCCAGGGTGAAGCATTGGACCGACGTCATCGTCATCACCATGGGAGACCAGGCCCACAGCAACAGGCCAAAGGGCGACAGCACGGGAGGAATGATCTCCCTCCTGGCCGGTCCTGACAGCTTGTCAGGTGATGTGACACCGATGGTCCTCCTGACGTGGAAGACATGGAAGTTGAAGAGAAAGGCCATCGCCTCCAACGATGCTGAAGTGCAGGCAGTCCTGGAGTCAGAGGACAACAACTTCCGAGCACGCCTGCTGTGGTCTGAGATCAACGGAGCCGGACTCCACCATCGAGACCTTCGAAGAGATCTGGTGGCATCCTCCGAGCTCCAGGCCATGAAGGTGAAGGGAGTTGTCTGCACCGACAGCCGTGGTGGCTACGACGCTGTCGAGACCAACGAGAGCCCGCTCTTAGGGCTCACGAACATGAGGGCAGCGCTTCAGGCCTTCCAACTTCGCGAGAACTTGCGAAGATGTGGCAGCGAGTTGAGGTGGCTCGCTTCGGACTACGACTTGGCCGACTCCATGACGAAGAAGAAGGCCGACAGTCGTGAAGGCCTCCTCAAATTCATGGCCACCTGGCATTGGACGATCGCTTACGATCCCAACTTCGTGGCGGCCAAAAAGAACAAGAAGCTGGGCCTGACGGCAGTCGACAAGATCGACCGAGCTCTTCGGCAAGCTGATGCGCTGTGCTCGACGACCGCTTTTGAGATGATGCCGGAGCCTCCTGAGCCTGTAGCTTCAGTGATCGCTGAGGACCGATCACTGATGTCCTCTTTTCCCCGTGCAACGGATTCGGTCATGACTTCATGCATGGATAACATGGAAACCT